AGGAGATCTTCAACGCCAAACAGATCGTGACAACCAGGAGATGAACCAGAGCTTAAGGAGAGGGCTGCCAACACGTTTGTCCTCGTGATCTCGGTGGAGATGTGATAGCCGAAGCGGATCTGAACAGAGTTCGGGTTAGAAATCCTAGATTAGAAGTTTTGTCATAGCAATTCGGAGAAGGGTGTCTCATCATGTTGTTATGTACCGGTGTAACTTGCATCTAGTGATTTAGTGGAAGGCTATTATATGGACGTGGGCCCCGCAGACTAGGAGAATTTGCTCCGAACTGCGTAAACATATCTGGTGTTATTTTTTACGCTTTTTATAGTTACAGCATTCTGCCCAGTAGGCGCTGTAACGCTCTCTGCATCATCTGCTTCTGTGTGTGCTTGTGACAGAGAAGTGTTATAGCACATTGTCCGTCATCTGTTACTGTGACAGTGCTGCAGCGTCTTCTCTGCAGCATTGTGGATTGATTTGTTTGCATAGCTCTTAATTGGTGATTTCCGCTGCGCGCCCCCACGAACTTACAGTCTTCACTTAGGCTATTGTTTTGGATTGAAATTTCAAAATTGAATGTTGCAAGAAACTGGAAAAAAGTTAGAAGAAAATAGAAAGAGTTAGAAAAAATTAATAAGAGCTGAAAAATGTTGGAAGAATTTAAATGTTAAAAAGACACTCAATTAAAAATAATCACTCAGATAAAAATGCAATGAAACTTTAATTTTAGATAAAACAGAATCCATCATTCTCTTTGTTTGAGGTGATATGTTATAAATTTGTAGATATAATTCTATTCTATGTTAATTAGACCTGTGCAAATAAGGATCAGCCTGTTTGACCCGCACGGCACGCCCTTTAAAAAGGGTGGATATGGACAACTTTTAATACCCACTTGGGCGGGCCGGCCCAAGCCCGAATTGTATTTGGGCGGATCTCGAAGTTACTTTTAGCCCATCCGGGCCAACATGCCCGCCCATATTCATTAAAAATATTTACTTTATTATTAATTATCTAGCCAATTTAATTTAGAAAAATTGTTATAGTTCATGTATAATAGTTCAATTCACTCACCTCTCTTAAACAAAAATCAATATTCTTTTAGTGAATTAGTATGATGAGTTTATTAATTTTGCAACAATATCTCTGTTATGCTTTCTATGTAAATTTAGCGAAAAAAAGAGTACAATGTTTTTTTGAATATTTTGTGCAAAAAAAAGTTTTTTTGGTGTTTTATCCGGGCCGGGTGGCCCGATGGGTAGTTCAGCCCGCTAAGGTGGACGGGTATGGGTAAAGGGTTTAGCCTATCAAATGCGGGGCGGGCTAAACCCACCCATGTAAATAGGCTAATAATTTGTATCCAATCTGGCCCAGATCCAACCCGATTCCTTATTTGCACAGGTCTAATGTTAATCATATATAAATACTTTTTTAAGTCGTTCTTGAAAAAAACTAAACAAAAGTTAAAAGAAATGAAAAAGAACAGAATGTTAGTAACGACTAATGGGTAGCATAGCAAGTGGCCAAGTGGGGCTTGGAGTGTTCCTCGAGAATATAGGGCTTCCTTTCTTTAAAAAGAATATTAGGCCCTTAAAATTAGCCCATCAAATGTGAACAAAGCATTTCCCTAAATATTAGGACCTTATTTAAGGAATAAATCATAAAACTCTTATTTTGATATTTTCTTTATGTTTTACTCATATTTAAAATGATCTTTTAAATTTGATTCAATGGTATTAAATGCAATTATGATGGCACGAATATTGTGGTCTGATTTTTTATTTTTTTTTGCAATAGGGTGATTTGATACGTTTATCACTTAATCTACACAATCATTCTTTTAAAACCTATTTTGAAAGTCATATTGTGACACTAAGGCATTATGCCCATTGAGATTCGGGGGGGGGGGGGGGGG